TGTTTTTCTAAAAATGTATCCATCTCTTCTAAGTTTTCAGTTTTTTTGGAGTACAACTCTTCATAGTATTCTGTTATTGTCCTTTTGATTTCCTTTGATTCCATTGTGACATCACCCATGTGTTTTCTAATGCGTGTTATTTGTGTCTTCTCCTTCTTTTCTTAGGTTTGCCAGTGGTTTGTCAATTTTATTACTCCTTTCAAAGAACCATCTTCTTTCTTGTCCTGTTGCCAGTAATTCTTAAGTTATTCCTCTTCATGTTATCCAGCATGAATCTTAGTCTCTCTTCAGATTTTTTTTATCCTTTTTTCTGCTTGCTCTTCTGTCTAAGCAGTATTGAGATCCAGCTCGCTGGTTCTGGCTTCCATCTCTTCAGTTCTACTCTTTTGCCCTTTCAGTGTAATGTCCATTTCTGATATTTTATTATTAATTTTCTGGACCTCTTTTTTGCAGGTTTTGAATTATTTCCAATGCAACATATCTATGTTGTTTGATTGCTCCTGTAGCACTTTCCTGACTTCTTCCTTATTTTCCTCCACCCTTTTTCTGAGCATTTGAATTTATTTTCATATCATTCTTCTGAATTCCTTCTCAGGCAAATCCAAAATCTGCTTTTCTTCTACTGGAAATACTGTGTCTTTCTCCAGCTCATTTGTCTCAGTTGCTCTTTTCTGTTTTGGGACATGTTTTGAGATCTTTTGTTGTGTTTTCCTGGACATTTTCAGTAGTTAGGTGGATTTTTATTGCTTAATGGATGTATGTTGCTGTATTGTTGAGCTTGCTGAGTGTCTCTTGGTAAATATGATCTGGAGATAGGCTTCCCTTTTCATGTGTAACACTGGTTAGCAGCTGGTATTGGCTCCTGTCCCAATGGTGAGATATTATGGGGTATGATTGTAGCTTGGCTATATGGCCACGATTGCTGTCTCTTCTTGGGTAATGTAGGGAGAAAAAGCTCCCACCCCAGGAAAAAAGTGTTGTCAAAAGGACCAAAAACAGAAGCGATATAAAAGCAGAGAAAAAAACACCATTCCAAAACAAAAATAAAACCATAGCTGTCTGACCCATGGCAGGAGTAAAGGGTCCCACCCAGGTCAACTTTAGAGCTGGGTCCCAGAGTCAGAAGTCATAAGCATCTTCCAAAGGGTTAGCCCATGGGACCAATGGGGATCCTCCTCTCTGTGCCGTAGGAAAACTGTGGGCTCAATGCTGGACCCTTTTGGGGGTACGCACCCACCTGCAGGAAAGTGGCCAGGCTTGGCAGAGAGGGCATGACAGGGAAGAGGAGGAAAAAATGTGTGGAATCCCCCACTCCTGTTTCTTCAAATGTTGCTGTGGGGGGTTCACTGTGTCAGTCTGGCTGTGGCCCCACCCTCTGAACGCAGCCCATGTGGGAATGCTCCACAGGCAGATTCCCGAGCCCTGATCCATTCCGGAATCACAGTATTTCCCTTTATACGGTGAGTTTTCCACCGGTGGGTGTGGGAAACTGATGCCCTGTACCTTATACTAGATCCAGAGCTCTGGAGCAGCTCCGTAAAAGCACCTTCTCTGGATTTTCGGCACCTCCCCCATGGAGCTCGTCCTACCTGACTTTGCTTGTCCCGCCTCCAAAACAGGAAGTCCCTATTTACTTTTTTAAAAAAGAAAATGAATGCCCAACACTAAGTTAGGTGGGTTAACTTTAGACCTGTGAGGTCAATATGATAGTTTATTACAACAAAAAAGAACAATAAGAAAAGACAGTTGGGTCAATTTCAATTCAAGGCAGCCCATGTGTGTCAGAGTAGAACTGTGCTCCAGTGGATTTTCAGTGGTTGATTTGGCCTTTCTTCCACAGCACTTATGGATGAGCACAAATCTCCAACCTTTTGGTTAGTTGCCCAGAGAACCTGTATTTAAGTGTCACTGAATCGGTTCTGACTTATAGTGACCCTGTGTCTGGTTTCCAAGGAGTGGCTGGTGATTTTGAACCATGACCTTGTAGTCCAGTGCATTATCGTACAGTACCACACCAGGACTCCACCCAATGCATTGTTAAGTTCCATAGAGTTGGTTCTGCCCCATAATGACCCTGTACAGGGTTTTAAAGGAGCAGCTGGTGAGCTGGAACTGCCGACCTTATGGTCAACTTTGCAGTCCAGCAGATTAACCCACGGTGCCACACCAAAGCATTAGGGATAGCCGTTTTTTAAAAAATAAAATCTTTTATATGATAGCGAGCAATTATTTTGGGTCTTCTAGACTCTTTGATTGTGTTTGTCTCACTTGCTCAGTGATGACTAAATTGGCCCTGTGGGCTAATGCGTCCAACTGCAAAGTCGTTTGAATTACAAGGTCGTTGGTTCCCTATACAGGGTTGCTATGGGTTGGAATCAACTCAACGTCACTTAACAACAACGTCAGATTAAAGCTTACTAGATAATTTCTTTTTTTTCTACTCAGCCAGTGTATAGCATGATAAACTCTCAGGCAATTTATCAGTGACTGTGAGTTTAGAAAATGATCAGCAGTTTGGATCTTCTGCCCTCAAGCCTTCTGCTTTCTAGCTTCAAGCTGGAAATGAGATCGGGGTCCTGAAATGAATAGATTGGAAGATGTCCAGAGATTTGCACTTACAGTAGAACAACATGTGTGTTGGTATCTGCTGTTCTGTCTTAGGCCAAGGTTTTACCGAGGTCAGAACATGAGGATCTTGGTAGATCACTCTCAGTGTGTCTGTCCCTGGTAGAAACCAGACTTGCCTTCCTTAGAGGGAGTTTATACCCCAGGGCAGTAAGGAAAACTGTAAGGAGCCTCTGACTACTATTTGGTGAGATTTATTTTCTTTTTCTCTGTTGCCTTGGGCTTTTTTCATCAAAGACAAGCTGCTCACTTTATGAAGCACACATCTGGAATGGATTTGTGATTTTCAATTAGCAATCCATTCAGACTTCTAGAGGCAAGAGAGGGCTTGTTATAATTGGGTCGTTGGGTGGGGGTCCATGTCTGACCCTGACTTTACTTCTGGTTTGTTTCTATAGCACACGTAATCCTGATTCTTCTCTTGGAGTATTTTCCCCCAAATAAATCCCTTTCTTGTGTTTGTTGTTTCCTGTTATCTATTTCCTCATTCCTCTGTTTGTAAATGACCAACCTATAATAATAGTATTCAGCAGAGCAGACCGAGCTTTGGTTAGAGAAGTAAACCTGTTTCCATCTCATTATTCTGCATAAAGTAATTTAAATCATTAACACATTTTCTGATAATGCCCTTATGTTGTTGTTGTTGTTAAGTGCCGTTGAGTCGGTTCCGACCCATAGTGACCCTGTAACAGGGTTTCCGAGGGTGTAAATCCTTACGGGAGTAGAAAGCCTCATCTTTCTCCCGCGGATCGGCTGGTAGTTTCGAACCGCTGACCTTAAGGTTCGCAGCCCAATTCGTAACCACTACGCTACCAGAGCTCCTTAATGCCCTTATAAGGTTATATATAAAGGAGCTCTGGTAGCGTAGTGGTTACGAATCGGGCTGCGAACTGGAAGGTCAGCAGTTCGAAACTACTAGCTGCTCCATGGGAGAAAGATGAGGCGATCTGCTCCCGTAAAGATTTACAGCCTTGGAAACCCTATTCAGGGTCGCTATGGGTCGAAATCAACTCGATGGCACTTAACAACAACAACAACAAGGTTATATATGCACTTTCTTTCTAAACTTCTGATAGTCATAAGAAACTTTTTCCATGGTGAAACCTGTTCTGCAAACCCAGCTCAGTGATTCCTTTAGGAACAGAGGGGTCTAGACACTCTCAGCCGTTATCCTCACTAACCCTGTCCTCGCTGTCCTATAATCTTCTATTTTCACTTGTTGTTTAGTGCCATGGAGTGGGTTCCAACTCATAGCCACCCTGTATAGGGTTTCTGAGAAGTGCCTGGTGGGTTTGAACCACCACCTTGCGATTCAAATTGACCTGGCGGTCTAGTGCTTATCCTACTACAGAGCCACACTAGGACCCCTCTGTTTTATTTGGAGTGTAGTAGATCCAGAAGATTCTATTTTCCCCAGGTCCAACCAACCGGGCTTCAGGTGACATGCCCAGCTCCATCTTTCATTTTAGGCGAGACACCATCTTTTGAACATTGGGTTGCTTGTCCAGCCCTAGACCTGTCTCGGAAGGTTTTCAGCTGTAGAATTTGTTTCTTATTGGGAAGTTGAGTGATAGTGATAATTGTTTTAGAATATTTTAGGCTTTTAAGGAAACATTAATGATATGGCTCAAAGAAACAGGGCTTTGGCTACTTTTAAAGTTTATTTTAGACCAGAAGTTATTACAAGCAGAGTAACCAATATATCATATCTATTCATGGAATTATCTTTCCACTCATAATTCCCAAAGTCACACAGCATCATTTTTGAACTTACTCAGGTAATCCTGTTTGTTGTCATCTGCACAGTTGAGCAAATAATAAATGCTTTGCTGTACATTGTCCATGACCTTCCAGAAAAGCTCTTAAATTTGATAACTTGTTTCAGGTTGGGCATATTATATTGTCAAAGTCATTACTTTTGCCTTTTCTTACAAATCTTTACTCCATTGTGTTGTAGGCCAAAGGAGGGCTTTCTGGTCTGTTTGATGGAGCTGAAGTTGTTCTTGGTCCTGACACTTCGATGGAGCTTTTGGGGCCAGTTCCACCTGAGCAACAATTTATTAACCAAAAACTGAGGCCTGGTTCTGGAGTATTATCCATCAGAGTCATCCCAGATGGACCCACTAGAGCACTGCAGGTGACAATTTACCGTGAGAACCAACCTGTGACTTGGTGCACTTCCCACTGTGCTAGTCCATCAACAGAAGTTTGTTGAGTCCATACTGCATGCAGATTCCTATGGTGAATACGAGGGTGTGGCACCCTCAATTGTAAGCTGATATCAGAATGAAAGAAGATGATGCTAAGAACATTGTGTATTAATATTATTGTCAGTGTTAGTGTTAATCATTATATCAATATCTTTATTTAAATTGCTGTTGTTAGTGTCATTGAGTCAGTTCTGACTCGTAGGGATACTGCATAGGATTTGCAAGGAGCTGTTGGAAGGTTTGAGCCATCAGTCTTGTGGTTAGCAGTCCAGTGCTGATCCTACAGCGCCGCATCAGGGCGTATTAGTAACTTTAGCAACAAGAAGAAGGTATATCAAGAAGTATTGCTCTGAGGGTTCCAGTTCATTTATGCATGCTTTATTCCAAATGAAATGTGTGTAATCATGTCTCTCCAATTACTAGATAGCTGCCCACAAGTTCTTTCACTAATGCACTTGTCTTAGTCTCGTTAGGGTGCCTTTAAAAATTAAAAAAAATTGGTGCATAGGAAAAAAATTTTTTTTGAGGTTAGGGCTAATATCACAATTTTAATAAAACCCCCTTTGCAACAAGTTCACAGGAGTTCTACCCTGTATAAAACAATAGTTTTTAGATGGATCAAGCATTGGAAAGAAGGTCAGGAAAACCTCAAGGTTGATGAGCCAAGAGAGGAAAAAGTTCAACTTCAACAAAAGAAGAAACTATTGGCTGAAGTCCAAAGACTGGTGGCAGAAGAGCATAGAGTTACCATTGATACCATACCCATTGGAGTTGGGATCTTACATGTGCAGCATTTTCCATATTAATCTTACATCTTGGCCTCAGGAAGCTTTTGGCTCTCAGTACGTTTCTAAAGGATTGCGTTGAAGATTACCCAGGTCACAAAACAATCTTTCCATCAATCTTTTAAGCAATATCAAAGATTTTATGGATCAAATTGTAACTGGGGACAGGTCCTTTACATTACCTATATGGTCCTGGGAGCAAGATCCAGTCAGATCATTGGCTTCAAGGGGATCTGCTGGGTCAGTTAAAGTCAAGGCAGAGACATCAGCTCAGAAGGTCATGGTGACTCTTTTTCCAAAGAGGTTAACTTGATAGATTTTCTCAAAGGACACAGGGAGATCGTGGGAGCTTATTATGAAGAAAAATGGAAAGCTGCATTGTGAGAAAACAGGCCAGGAAAGTTGTGATAAGGGATTTTTTTTCCCACCACAACACTGCACCTACGTGTTCTTTGAGAGTAGCTAACTAAGGCTGTCCTATTGAGAATTTCATGAGGAAACCTTACCCTATCCACCCAACAATCCTGATCTTGTCCTTTCAGGCTTCTTTTTGTCCCCAAAATTCAAAGAACATTGAATAGGAACACCATTTACATCCTTAAAGGATGCCAAAGCTGCCATTGTGATGTGATGTAAATTGAAGTGCGCTGTATTCTTCAAGATGGAAACATTGCCTTCAGAAATGTACATACTTGCATGGAGGATATGTTGAGAAATAATAGCTTCACCTGCTCATATGTGTATTTAGTAGAGGTGCCTATGATTTTGTAGCAGTCCTTTTGACTGCCCTTACATATAGTATGTGAGAAATTGATAACTAAAGGCCTAGAGGTGAGAGAGTAAGCCTTTTGAGGAATGGAAGGAAGTTCATCCCAACTGGCACATAGACTGTGGTAAGAAGTAAGGCTGGGGTCAGATCATGAAAAGCCTGGAATAAGGAGCTTTCTAAGTCAATCAGGAGTCAGGTAATGACATGGTCAGAAATTGAGTTTAGAAAGTCTTTCTGGCTATAATATGGAACACTGAGACAGGGCAAAACTGGAGCTAGAGAAAGACCAGGTAGGAGACTGTTGTAGTCATCTACATCGGAGAATGTAGTGGCCCAGACTAGGCTAGATGGCAGCAATTAGGCCTGAGGAGGCTGGAGGGAAACAACTAGTAGAAATGAAAGCTTATTTAAGAGTAGAATCCGTTGGACTGATTGAATGTGGGGTTGAAAACCAGGATGGCCTCAAGAGTGGCCCCCAAGATTCTGATGGGGAATGATGGGAATTATGGTACAAATCACTAAGAGATAACCAGGGGAGATTTCTGTGGGAAATGAGTTAAGTTTGGGGCTTGTAGAGCTTTGGTGACTGATATCTAAGTGAAGATGTCCAGGTATTGTAAATATGGTTCTCGAGCTCAGGGAAGAGAGCTGAGCTGGAGATTTACTAAGACACTGTGCTTTTTAAAAGCTAAGGATAAAAAGATGCTAGTAAGTAACAGTAAACTCTCTGAAACAGTGCATTATAATCTTAAATACCTCTTTATAAAACAGTTTTAGAGCAACAATTGACCCCAATGACCTATAAGATTTTGACTGGTGGTGTGGTTTTACATCACCTGCAGATCAAACCACTATGTGAGGCTTTCAAAGTCGGAAGATAAATTTACCATGTAGATTTCAAACCAAGTTTGCTTCATTATTATAAAAATCTTACTTTAGCAGTACTTTGGAAACCAGTAACTTCCATAGGATTTTACTATTGAACTATGGGCCCTTTTAATACAGTATTTTATTTGGCTCCAGGTAACAGATTTCTGCCAGCGGAAAAGTGACCGTGCATCATATGAAGTGGATGAACTTCCTATTACTGAGCAAGAGCTGCAGAAATTAAAGAATCCAGACACAGAACAAGAATTGGAAGTAAGTTTTAGGTATTATATGTTTCTTTGATCATCAGTTTAGATAGAATCTTGGTCTTGGATTTTTCTCAGGTTGGACCAACTCTTTTCTTTCTGTCCTATATGAATTCTAAGTATAAATACTGCTTGGTACCTTTTTACTCTTTCACAGATTAAATATGATATGTTAAGTGCTAGCTAAAGTTTAAGTGGAATTGGAGTGTTTAAAACATGACTAAAATATGATGACAATAAATGAAGCTAAATGATGTGAGTTTAAAACACAATTTAAGGAAGAGAATAATGATGCTGAGATTTCTTTGTGTGTGTGTGCAGGGTGGGGAGGGAAAGGGGAGGTGGGGTGAGTTGAACCTGACAGTTTCCTTCCCCTCTCCCTCTTTGGGCCTTGGGAAGAGATTGTATGAAAAGAAAGCTAAGGTGAACATAAAAAAGGCCCATGAGTTTTGCTTTTTTTTTTTTAATCAAGTGCCTATGTGTAAAGCAAGGTGTGGGATGTTATGGAAGATGAGTGAATAAGTTATTAGAAGCCTGTGTTCCAAATAGGGAGAATGATTTTCAAATAATTATATATTTCTGCAGTGCAATGCAGTATGTCATCAGGCTTAGATTGAGGCATTGTGAAATCACTCTGGAGCTATGGTCTTATTGGGGAGTGTACCTAGAATGGGTGGGACGGACCATTGTAAATTTTGGCAGAGAAAGGGTTCCCCACCCCTGGCCTAAAGGAAGGCTTCTAGTGAGATGATGGTATTTGGGTTACCAAAGTAAACGATAGGATTTGCCAAAGTGGTTTTCATCTGCTCAGAGATGGAGGCATCTAAAGCCCTTATTTCCTTGTACTCTATGAACTACCTACCTTGAACACTATTTAAACAGTTGTCAGTGTGCCATGTTTGGTTTCCTTTCAGGTCCTTGTGAAGTTAGAAGGTGGAATCGGACTGTCCTTAATTAATAAAGTCCCAGAAGAACTGGTCTTTGCAACTCTGACAGGAATCAATGTGCACTACACGCAGCTGGCAACCAGTCACATGCTTGAACTCAGCATACAGGACGTGCAGGTGAGGAGTGAAGTTTTCAGAAGCTATTCATCTACTTGTTTTCATGCTAAACACCCAGCCAGACCCTGTGTTTGGTGTTCTAAAAATGCAGTGCTTATTGGGGCCTTCAAAGGACCATTCTACAAAATACTTGTTTCTGCCTAGATTTGCCTCACTGATTTTTCTCTATATCACAATCCTGGCATAGTAGTGATTGCAGAAATATTTGACTTTAGATAACTGTCAATGTGGCATGAAGGAGGGTGATCCATGGTCCTCAATCTTGCCAATAAAACAAATCGAATTGTCTAGACACCAACAGGAGGAATTGAGGTTCACCATATTGATGTTGTTGTTATTGTTAAGAGCCATCGAGTCATTTCCAACTCCTGGTGATCCTGCATAGGGTTTCTGAGGAGCACCTGGTGGGTTTGAACTGCCTACCTTGTGGTTCACAGTTCAGTGCTGGTCCTACAGTACAGTATCAGGAGGTTCACTATAGGGAGTATAAATGAGGAGCTAGATAGACTTCCCCTTTTGGCCGAGAGAAAGTAACAGAAACCACATTTATTCTCTTACCTGAAGCAACCCCACAGCCAGACAAAAATGCATAAGATAGACCCCTAAGGACATTTCCATCAGGCCTCTAAGGACAGTGATTGCTAAGAGGTGGGAAAGAAAAGAGGTGAGCTCTATATTGCTGCAGAACAGGAAGAAGAACCTAGCAATGTACTTCTAAAGAAAAAAAATGGGTCAGTGAAAACCTTGTGATTAACAATGAAACATTGTCTGGCATAGTGCTTGAATATGACCCCTTCAGATTGGAAGGCACCTTAAGTATTCCGGGGGAAGAGTTACCTCCTCAAGGTATAGTCAGCTTTAATGACCTTCATTTGCTGATGTGGCAACACTCAAAATGAGAAGAAAACACTGCAGACATCCATTACTTGGAGTGTGGAATGCACAAAGTATGAATCTAGGAAAATTGGAAGTTGGCAGAAATGAAGTAGAACACTTGAAGATCAATATCCTAGGCATTAGTGAGCTGAAATGGACTGGCATTGCCATTGTTAATCAGACAACTATGTGGTCCATAATGCTGGGAATGACACATTGAAGAAGAGCATTGCAGTCATTAAGAAAAAGAATATTTCTAGGTCAGTATTGATGGACGACACTGCCAAGGATAGGAAAATATCCATATACCCACAAGGAAGACTAGTTAATTCAAATTTATCCACCAACCACTAATGCTAACGATGAAGAAATGAAAGTTTTATCAAGTTTTGCAGTCTGAAATTGATCAAATATGCAATCAAGATGCATTGATAATTACCAGTGATTGGAATATAAAAATTGGTAACGAAGAATTGTTGTTGTTAAGCTCCCTTGGGTCAGTTCTGACTCATAACCATAGTCTAAAGGGTTTCCAGGGAGCTGATGGTGAGTTTAAGCCACTGACCTTGCCATTAGCAGTCCAGTGCTTATCCTACAGCTCTACACCAAGACTCTGGAGAAGAATTAGTGATTAGAAAATATGACCTTGGTGATACTGGCACTGAAGATGACCTTGGCCCTGAAGATCACATGATAGAATTTTGCAAAAGGAAATACCTTTTTCAACAACATAAAGGTTATTATCCACATGGACCTCAGTGAATGGAATACACAGGAATCAAATCAACTAGCTCTTTGCAAAGATACGATTGAGAAGCTCCATATTATCTGTCACAATAAGACAAGCAGGCAACTGCAGAACAGACTGCCATTTGCTAATGTATAAGTTAAAATTGAAGCTGAAGGAAATGAAAGCCAAGTATGACTTTTTGAGTATATACTACCTGAATTTAGAGACGATCTCAAGAATAGATTTGACACATTGAACAGTAATGACCTAAGACTAGATGCATTGTAGGATGACATCAAGAATTTCATAACAGGAAAAAACTAGAAGGTCATTAGAAGGACAGGAAAGAAAGAAAAGACCAAAATGGATGTCAGAAGGGACTCTGAAGTGTACAGAACATATGAAAAAGTAAAAAAGCTGAATGAAAATTTCCAAGGCATCTTGAGAAAACAAAGTACAATAATACAATGAAATGTGCAAAAATCTGAAGTTAGTATACCAAAATGCTTGGCATTTTTCAAGCTGAAAAGTTTCAGTGCTGTGAAGTTCTCGGAGCAAAACATTAAACACTAAAGGAAACATTGAAAGAAGATGGAAGGGATAGAGTTACTGTACCAAAAAGAATTGGTCTACATTCAATCATTTCATGAGGTCCCATATATTCAAGAACTGATGGTACCGAAGAAAGAAGTCCAAGCTGCATGCACTAAAGTCATTGGCAGGAAAAAAAATTGAAAAGCTCCAGGAATGGACAGAATTCTAATTGAGATGTTTCAACAAATTGGTGCAATCGTGGAAGCACTCTTTAGTCTATGTGAAGAAATTTAGAAGACAGCTACCTGGCCAACCAAGTGGAAGAGATCCATATTCATGCCCATTCCAAAGAAAGGTGATTTGATAGAATGTGGAAATGGTCAAAGTTATCATTAGTCTCACATACAAGTAGAATTTTGCTGAAGGTCATTTTAAAATGGTAGCATTTGACTGAAATTCAAGTTGGATTCATAATAGAGTATGAAACAAGGGATATCATTGCTGATGTTAGATAGACTTGGATAAAAACAAAGAATATCAGCAAGATGTTATTTTATTGTTGTTAGGTGCCATCGAGTTGGTTCTGACTAATAGCTACCCTAAGCACAACAGAACAAGACACTACCTGATCCTGCACCATCCTAGTGATTGCTGGCACACTTGAGCCCATTGCTGCCACCACAGTGCCAGTCCATCTTGTTGGGGGCAGGGGGTCTTCCTCTTTTTTGCTGACCTTCCATTTTACCAAACATGATGTCCTCCAGGGACTGATCCCACCTGATAATATATCTGAAGTATGAGAGACAAAGTCTGGCCATACTGGCTTCTAAGGAGCGTTTTGGCTGTACTTCTTTCAACACAGATTTGTTTCTTCTTCTGGTAGTCCATGGTGCGTTTAATATCCTTCTCTGTCACCTTAGCTTAAATGTATCAATTCTTCTGTTGTCTTCTTTATTCGTTGTTCAACTTTCACATGCATATGAGGCAATTGAAAATACCATCTTTGAGATTCAAACTAACAAATTTGCTCTTGAACAAAGATTGGCCCTGTGCAGTATGTCGTTTAATTTTGTGATCGCTGCCTCCATGAGTGTCGATAGTGTATCCAAGCAAAGTGAAGTTTTGACAACTACAGTCTGTTCTCCATTTATCATGATGTTATTTATTGGTCTGGTGGTGAGGATTTTTGTTTGCTCTGTATTGAGCCCATACAGCCCATACTGAAGTCTGTGTTCTTTGAGCTTTATCAGTAAGTATTTAAGTCCTCTTTACAAGCACGGTTGTATCATCTGGCCTATAAATGTTGTATCATCATCCAATAAATTGGCCAGGTAGCTGTCTTCCAAATTTCTTAGCATAGATGAATGAGTGCTTCCAGTGCTGCATCTTTTTGTTAAAAGGTTTCAATTTGTATTTCATCAATTCCTGAAGCCTTGTTTATTGCCAATGCCTTTAGTGTGCAGCTTGGACTTCTTCCTTCAGTACCATTGGCTCTTGATCATATGCTACCTATTGAAATGGTTCAGCATCGACCATTTCTTTTAGGTACAGTGTTTCCTTCCATCTTCTTTTGATGTTTTCTGCATCATTCAATATTTTGCTCATACAGTCATTCAATATTTCAAGTTAAAGCTTGTATTTTTTTTTAAAATTCTTTCAGCTTGAGAAATGCCGAAATGTGTTCTTCCCTATTGGTTTTCTAACTCCAGGTCTTTGCACATTTCATTGTAATACTTGCCTTTGTCTTCTCAAGCTTCCCTTTGAAATTTTCTGTTCCGCTCTCTTACATCCTCATTTCTTCCATTTACTTCAGTAGCTCTATGCTTGAGAGTTTCCGAGTCTCTTCTGGCATCCATTTTGGTCTTTTCTTTCTTTCTTGTCTTTTTAATGACCTTTTGGTTTCTTCCTGTATGATGCTCTTGATGTCATCCCACAATTCTTCTGTTCTTTGGTCATCAGTGTCTAATGCATCAAATCTGTTCTTGAATTGGTCTCTAAATTCAACTGGGATATGTTTAAGGTCACATTCTGGCTTTTGTGGACTTATTTTAATTTTCTTAAGCTTCAGCATGAACTTGCATATGAGCAGTTGATAGTCTCCTCCACACTCTGTGCCTAGCTTTGTTTTGGCTGATGATATGGAGCTTTTCCAAGGAGCTCTAGTAGCATAGTGATTACAAATTGGGCTGCTAACTTCAAGGTCAGCAGTTCAAAACTACCAGCCATTCCATGGCAGAACAATGGGGTTTTCTGCTCCCGTGAGGATTTCCAGCCTCGGAATCCCTATGCAGGGTCTCTGGGAGTCGGAACTGACACCACGGCACACCACTGCCACCACCATGGAGCTTTCCCACGGTTTCTTTCCACAGATGTGGTCAGTTTGATTTCTGTGTATTCCATTTGGTGAGGTCCATGTGTATAGTCATCTTTTATACTGTTTAAAATGAATAAGTCATTGGTCTTTCAAACTTTTATCATGCAATCTCCAGCATCATTTCTATGACCAAGGCCATATTTTCCAACTAGTGGTTCAGTCACCAGTAATTATCAATACATTTTGATTGTATGTTTGATCCAATTTCAGACTGAAGAAGTTGGTAACACTTCTTCAATTTCATCATCATCAACTTTAGTGGTTGGTGTATAAATTTGAACAATAGTGGTTTTAACTGGTCTGCCTTATGCACATATGGATATTATCCTATCATAGACATTATACTTCAAGATAGATCATGAAATGTTCTTTTTGATGATGAATGCAGTGCTATCCCTCTTCAGTTTCTCATTCCCAGCATAGTAAACCATCGATTATTTGATTCAAAACAGCCAATACCAATCCATTTCAGTCCTGGTGTGGTGC